TTTACATATTCCAGGAACGATTTTACATGGCCCCTCTTGGGTCTGCCTTTTCAGAACATGTGTGTTTCTTGGCTGTGGTTTTGGCTCCTGCTCTTTATCACCGCCAGTTTTTGGGCCTTGGTCCACTCTGCCTTCAGATGGGGAGTGCTGATAGTTGGCAGATCTATACAGGTGTCCACATCCTGTGTGCATTGGATGTGATCCCATCCAAGCAGGCAGTTTAACACAAGCAGCTATTCCACTGAGCTTAATTAACAACAGAAATAAAAACTGTATCTTTACAACAAAGTTACTTTAACACCACGCATATAAAATCCATTTTAATATTTGCGAAAAGCCAATATTATAATATGTATCTATAACATTGCCCATATCTGTCCTTACCCTTTGGTTCCCCTGAGTGCAGCAAGGAATGGGAACTGCCAGCACGGCACGGAGTTGCTGCCGTCTCTCCATCACCCCGTGTCCCTCTCCCGTAAGAACCTGAATGAGAGATGTGGGACTTCAGGCGGCTCTTCAAAATACAGTTTATTGTATCCAAGATGTTACAGCAGTCCAGGGTCGTGGGTGGCTGTGCCTGTGCCTACACCTGTCAGCTCCAGCTGCACACAAGCCTGGAGACTGTTTAGCTTTGGTTACAGTGCATTATAGACTCTTCTTTGCTGAGCATCTTCACATAGAAGAACCAATCTATACCTTTACTTTTACCTATAGCCTATCATAACTCCTGTAATTACCATATTGATGTTACTATTCTCCAATCACTAAAAGTTAGTATGTGTGTCTCCCTGCCTGTCCTGAGAAGCCCTGATTCCCTGGAGAGCACTGCTTTTGGCCTTTGTCCATGGAGAAAGCTTCCAAGGCTTTGGGATGAACTGGAATCTACGAGTGTGTGAAATAGATAGTAGTGTAGTTTATCACAGGGTGAAAAACCGAGAGCTTTGGGATTTTAGTATGAGGGTGAACAGAAGACAGGATGGAGGATTTTGGGCATTGTCTGATCTCCTTGTCCTTCATCTACTCCATTTTCTGCTGTGTTGGGAGCACAGGGTGATTGGTTGGAAAGAGCGGCAATGCAGATGCTGAGTGGCAGACAAAGAATTAGTCACTGGCTGAAAGGTAGAAATAAAATGCATTCTAAGATTTAATTGGACAAAATCATTTTAAAACACCTTGAACCTTGTGTCCTGTGACTTTTGGTGCCTTCTCTTTTTACGCTAAGTCTGGTGTGCAGCTGGCGTGCTGAACTGTTGATGATAGAAAAATAAACAACAACCTAAAGACCAAAAAAACCAAAAGTCCCGTTCGTTTCTCAGTCCTGGCCCAAAACTTTTTAGGGGTGTCCCCATCAGGGGATCCTCGGGGGAGTTTCACACCTCCCTCCCTCCCCCCCTTCCTGCCCCACTGCTCAGCCCCCTCCAAGCCCTGCACCCGGGGCCCTCGCGCTTCACAAAAGGACCCAAAATTATCCCAAATCCACCCAAAATTACCTCAGAGCCCATCCTGAGGAGCTCTGGGGGAATTTTAGGGGGGTTTTGAGGGAATCTGGGGAGATTTTGGCTGGGTTTGAATCCTACGTCAAATTTGTTGTCCAGGAGGTACCAAAACCACCCAAAATCCCCCCAGAATCGACCCAAAATTACCGGAAATTAACCCAAAATTACATCCAAATCTATCCTGAGGAGGTTTGGGGAAGACTTGTAGGGATTTTAGGGGAATTTTAAGAGGAATTTTGGGTGGGTTTGAATCCTATGCCCACTTCGGCATCCACAAGGTACCAAAATCACCCAAAATTACGTGAAATTAACCCAAAAATTCATCCTGAGGGGGTTGGGGGGAGGTTTGGGGGCGGGGGAGTTGAGAAGATTTGGGGGTTTTGGGGGGAATTTTAGGGGTGTTTTTGGCAGTCATCATCATCCAAAACACAACACCCCATGCCAAAGCCAAGACCAAACCCTAAGGACTGTGCCCCCCTTGGAGAGGAGATCAAAGAACTGCACCCCTTCTGGGGAGGAGATCAAAAGCCAGAGGAGACTGAGCTATTAACTAAGCAAAAATGTATTCATTTCATCAAGTATCATCATTTCTGTTACTTTATCCTTTGTGATTAGGTCTGGAATGCTTTTCTAGTCCTTGTTAATTTAGTTGAATAATATTCATTTTGGTTTCGTAAACGACTAAGTCATATTCCTGATGTTATATATGAGGTCCCATATGTCTAATTTAATAAACCACAAACTTAAAATTTAGCAGCAGTTTTACTGAGATAAAATAATACAATCAAATAGAACCCAGTAGTTACAAAAAGAAATTTGGCAGTGGTTTGGATAAAGCATAAGCAAAACCGATCAATCAGGGTTTGGGGAGGGCTTCCCACCCTGCCTCACATGCAAAAGGCAAAAGGATCCCAACACAACTTATATACTGTGTGCTAATACATATTCATCAATATTTTCCTGTAAATCTCCTCCTATTTTCCGAATCTTGAAATCTATATCACCACAGCACACACAGTGCATGCTCCCGCTGTGGATAAGGGGGCTTATGGCTCTCTGGTGCTCTTCTTGGAGGAAGGCCAGCAGTCTTCCTCGCTGTCCTCTGAATAACCTGGCAGGTTGTGCACGTGCCCCAAGTCCTGTGTTATGTAAGTAAGCACTGTGTTCCAAGTAAGCCTTATTATTTTATAGATAAGAGCACTATTTTAGACTCCCTGTCTGGAATTGTCCCAACTTTGTTCATGTCACGGCCGATCCTGTCCTGGGAGTTGTCTTAACTTTGTCTTGATGCCAATTCTGACTTGAGAGTCTTCCTAACTTTTGTTCATCAAGGCCAATTCCAATCTCCTGTATACTTTTTCCCACATGTATCATCTACAAAGAAACCCATTTGCTTCATAATATTAATCACATTTACATTTCCAATTATTTTCCAAAAATATTGATATAATTACAATTTTCTTAGCATGAACCACATTCATTTATCACAGAAGGCCAAAAGCTTGGAAAAGGATGAAAGAAACGCTCCGATGATGACAATGACAAAACAACCCAATTTATTTTTGACAGCAAATGAACGCCGGCTGCCCTCCAGCCCTCCCAGCCTGGCAGGCCAAGTGGGGCCATTCCCATGGCATGAGGCGCTGGCAACCTGCGGAGAGAAACCAGAGAGCCACAGTCAGTCACAGCAGGCTCCTGTCCCCTGTCCCGCCATGGCTGTGCCCGGGCCAGGCTGCTGGCTGTGCTCAGAGCCCAAACCTCCCGAACCATTCTCTGTTTTTAGAGAAGGGCAGCAGGGCAGGCCACATTCCACCTCCTCTGCCTAATCACGGCACAGCAACCTCCTCAGCAGCTGCAGAAGCGGCATGCCCACTGCCGCCTGCCCAGAGCCCTTCTGCCAGCCCAGCTGTGGATCCGGATGCCCACCTCTGGAGAGCTGCTGCCAGGAGAGGAGCCGATCATGCACCAGGTCCTCGTCCTTCTGGAAGGGGCTGTCGCTGCAGACCGTGGCCCCTGGAGTAGCACTGGCACTGGATGCGCTCCATGGATGCTGCAGGCGCTTCCCCGTCCGGTCCGGGCACCAGGTGTAATCCTCCTGGGAAAAACAAAGAACAATTGCATTAAAGTCAATTCAAAACAAGACCTGGAAAAAAGAAAAAGCACAAAACCTGTCACTGTTTCACGGGCCTGAGGAGGGTCTGACCACTCCATGGGAGAATTAAATCTGTCCACAGATGGGGAAAATCCCCACCTTTCCCACCCATAAAGGCACCCCTTCCTCAAGGGCCTGCAGAGCAGGCCAGCTGGGGCACGACTTCGGAACCTGCCCCCTCTGCTGCCCCTATCCACATGGATGGATGCTTTTGTCAGGCTGGGTGCCCCCACCTCAGCCCATGCCAGGCTGGCTGGCAGAAGCTGTCAGCAAGGCCAAGAGCTGGCTTCCCTTCCACAACATCGGTCCCGTGTCCCGCCAAAAAGCAGCTCAGTGGCCGGCGGAACAATTAATATTCCCCAGTGCTGCCGAGCGGGGAACTTCCGGTGCGTGGCCAGGCCGAGCCCTGCCGTGCCTGGGAGCACCAGCATACCCCCACCACTGCGCTGGCTGGGGACTCATCTTGATTCCATCGGGGCGCAGAGCATGTCTTCCAGGCAGGGGCTGCAGCCAAAGACAATGGGCTCCAGGATGGTGTTCCCAGCTCCACGTTGTGCTCCAGAAGAACACGCCAGCTGTGCCTGGGCTTGCGGGGACATCACGATGCCATTGAGCTGCAGGGGGATGTTTCCCCTGTCCCAGTCCGTGGCACCTTCACTGCACTGCCACCATTTCTCCAATGGGACGGGCAGCATGGAGCCGCTCCCTCCACAGCTCACGGGGACCAGCAGAAGCATCTCCTCGGCTGCGCTCTCTCCTCAGTGCTGTGGCCACAGGGAAATGCTCTGGGGTTTTCTTCCAGCACCACGAGATGCGTGCCACTGCTACATGCTGGGCTTCTGGATCCTACTGTGCACAGAGATGCATCTCTGCTGTCTCCTGGGCCAGGCTGGGCTCCTGCAGCCAAGAATGCTCAAAAAGATCCTCCAGTGATGGCCCGTCTGTGGGGTCCATGCATAAACATCACCTGATGAGGTGCTGGCACTCTGCGGAGAGAAACCAGAAACCGCCGCTCAGCGGGAAGGGGCTCCTGTCCATGCTCTCCCACATTCCACAATGCCCAGGCCACCAGGAGCACTCAGAGCTGCACCCAAAAGCTTCCTATTGATCCTCTCTTGCAGAGGACACCAGCACAGAGGCACAGGTGCCACCTCCTCCAGCTGAGCCCAGGAGATCCACTCCTCACCAGCTGCAAGAGTAGGATGCTTATGTGCCAGCTGCCTCTCACAACCCCATTCTTCCCCTCGTGCCTTGAAGGCGCATCCCCACCTTGAGACACCCCTGGTGGGAAGAAGAGCTGGCCCCGGACGATGTCCTCATTGGTGTGGAATGGAAGGTGCCTGCAGACCAGCTCATAGCAGGATGCCCAGGGACCAGATGGTGGCTGGCTGGCCATGGTAGCAGCCGAAGAGGATCCACTCTGGTGGGCTGTACTCTGATGTTCCTGTGGGACACGGGCGCAGCTCATCAGGCCCATGCTGCTCCCTCCCTCCCAGCCAGCACCCGTTCCGCAACAGCCAGCCCCTGCCCTGCCAAAAAGCAACTTGGCTACAGCTGGCTGAAGAAGGATTCCCCTTCCTTCCCTCCCTCCTTCCTTCCCTCCCTCTTCCCCCTCTGCCAGCCAAGGGGGGAACCTCCGCTGCCTGGCTGGGCCCCGGCTTTGGGCTAACCTGACATCTGGGTGTAGAACGTGTCCTGGAGGATCGTGCTGCAGCCAAAGTCGAGGAGTTTCACCTCACCTGTGGCCAGGTGGACAAGGACGTTCTCAGCCTTGATGTGGCGGAGCAGGACACCGCGGCTGCTGCGGCACCGCATGGCCTCCAGCACCTGGCGGAGCAGCCCCCACGCCATGGGCTCCGTCAGGAACCGCCACTCGTGCAGGAAGTACCAGAGGTGCTGACAGCGCTGCGGATGCTCCATGAGCAGCGCAAAGCCCTTGGGCACCTCGAACCACTCCAGGAGCCGCATGACGCCGCAGAAGCCAGGCCGCCACACCTTCCACAGCAGGGCGGGCTCCAGGGGCACAAGGGCGCCCTTGGGCTGCGGGGGGACCGCAATGCCGTCAGCGGGGCCGATGCTGCGCCGCGCCTCGGGCAGCCCCTGTCTGGCCCCGCCGCGGCTCGCCATGGCCCAGCCCAGGGCACTGCGCGGCCCCCGCTCACTCCACACTCGCTGCCCTCACAGCGTTCCAGCTGCCGCCCTGCCGGGCCTCGTCTCAGCCCCGCCCGGCACGCCCCGCCAGCTCCTCCTGCTGGCCCCGCTCACTCCCCAGCCAGGCCTGCTCCAAGACGCGCTCCTGGGACACTCGCTTGATGGCCACCTGCGAGCCAAGGCCAGCGGCGGACTGAAGATCACGCTTGGTTAAGAGTGTATAAGCTGGACAATACACAGAATAAAAAAATGTTTTTCTTCTTGGGCCCTGATCACGTGTGTATATCACGTCCAGCCTAATGGTGAACAAGTATTCTCTGACAGGTAACTTGTCAACAAACTGAGAAAGAAATTAGTACCTGGGCATGCAGATTTCTGAAGGGAGGAAAGAAAAGTGTTGACAAGAATAAGCCTGAGTTTTAAACAACTGAAACACTCAAAAATAATATGTTTTGGGCTATTGTACCATATGTTACACAGAGTTCAAACAAACCACTACTCATTAGTATCTGGACTTCATTGCCCACTGTGCTTAGAAATGTTGCTTGAAGGCACTTTGTGTCAAAGATCCAGTTCTTGTAGGTCACTGTAGGTGTAGATCAAAATCCTACCAAAAAATCCATGTCCAAACCAGCAAGAGTGAGACTTTTGTCCTTGGCAGTAGCTTCCAGGTGCTCCTGGAAATCCCCAGGCCTAGACACAAAGATGTGTATTCAACGGAGGGAGAGAAGCATCATGCTTAGCCCTAACTGTGACCTTTGCTAGCAGATCTTACTAGCAGGTAACAAATTCCATTTGTTCTGCTCTTAGCCAGAGCCAAGATGGGAATCAAGTCTAGATCACAGGAGAAGATCACAGGAGCCTCAACTTTTCCAGAAGAGGAAAAATACAAAGGATAGTAAATTTGTGTTGGGTTTATAGGGTTTTTTTACAGATCGATAGACAAGTGATGAAGTTTAAAAGATGACAGCAAAGGAAAATCAACAGATATGCTGAAACTGAGTGAAGAGGAAGGAGACTTCAGATTCACTGAAAAGCTGCACAGAAAGCTTCTCTACTTTTTGCAGTTGCTTCAAGTTTGAAATGACAAGCTCTAGCAGCACTTCCAACTTCTTTTTATTAATTCTAGAATAAAGACAATGAAAACTGTGTACTCCTGCTTACAGTATTAAGGAAAGCACAGGAAGCCATTAGAGTAAGAACAATCGTGTTTAGAAGGCTGAGGCAGCCTTAGAAGCAGGAGGAATGGGGAGGTGTGGAAATCAGGCCCGTGGACACCATTCAAGGAGCATCCAGTCCCTCACAGTGGGTATCCCAGCAGATGGAGTCCAAATGGAGCCACAGCTGGGTGGGAAAAGTGCCGGGCTGTTGAACTGTGGTTAGCAGGGGCTCCTGCATCAAATTGCTCCCTGATAGGTGTGGTATGCTGTGTGTGTGTGTGCCCAACAGCTGGCAACAGCAGGCTGGCCCAGATGTGGGAAAAGGCCAAGGAAGCAGCAGAGTGGGAATGGGGCTCTGCAGGAGGCCCTGGTGGTTGACACACCCGTGGGGGATGAGGCTGGCCCAGATGGGCCCTGGGGCTCTGGGCTGAAAAGGGAGGAAAAGAGAATCAGGGAGGAAGGGCCAGATGCCACTATCAGAATGCCATTCCATCCCATAGGTGACATAGTGAGAGGAGGGTGGGAACCAAATGGTGATTGCTGCTGATCACCCTGACATCTCCAAGACAAGAGGCCCAGCAAGGACTGCACATCTGCCTCCTAGTGTTGTCCTGAATGTGAGCTCATCTCCTGGCGTTCATTACCCGCAAGTCTCTCAGCTTCCCACAGGCATTCCACACTTCAGGCAAGCAAAGCTGCTTACCTCACTATGTTCTTTGGGCCTCTGAGAGGGATTGTCCACTTAGCTACAGCCTGGCAAGGAAGGGAGTCTTACAACACTCTGGATATTTTAGACTTTTATTGGCACTCAGGCTGAAACAAAGTATCCCCTCGCAACCTCTCCATCTTCATCCTTCTGTCCTGCAGGTGGCCTGTTCAGGCTGACAGATTGGAGCACCTGCAGGCTCCAGTTGGGCTGCAGCCCAGCTTTTCCTCTCACAGCTTAATTCTTATTGTGACAATTCTTTCATTTCTACTTAAAAGATACCTCAGAGCTTCCCTAAATTAACAACACTCTAAGCTAAACAATCCTCTATTATCTAAGCTATCTATGTTCCAAATGTTGGGATTCATAAAATTTGAGGGTTTTGAGAAAGTGGTAAAAAAGACAGGCCTCAGACAGCAGATTTGTGAACATTGCTAATACAGCAAAAAGTTTTCTAAGCAGTAGAGCAGACATGAGAAATAGAACAGTAAGCCCCTGTGATTTGCCCTTATAGGTTGCAACAAGTTTATTTAATGTATATCTTTAGAAGGTTAGTATGAATGAGCCTCTGTGCTTTGTCTCTCATAAACGAGCCATTGTGTTAGAAAATAAGTCCTTATTTTGTTAACTACTGTTATGTGTGTTTCATATGATTGGATAGAATTATTGTCAATATGTTTTGCTCTATGTGTGATTGGCTGAAACTTAGGCTGAGAGGATTTTATGCTACCCTGTAATGTGACGTTTCCTTGGCATTCCATTTGAATCAGCGAGCTGTAAACATATCCTGTCTCCATTGTCCTAACAATGTACTGAGACTGATGTTTGAAATAAACAGCTCACGACACTGATTCAGTGTCCCGTTCCGTTTGTGGCTGTATATAGCGTGCCAACGGCACCATAGTCCTTAGAAGTTGATCCCTATATTTCCTAATTTTTTTAAACTTTCATCTTTTTGAGAAAGAAAAAACAACAGAGTTTTAAATGGAACCTAACACACCTAACCTAACCTAACCTAACCTAACCTAACCTAACCTAACCTAACACACACGTAATCTAACCTAACCTAACCTAACCTAACCTAAGACCTAAACTGAGCAAATATGAAAACTGTCACATTTCCTATCTAGGGCACAGCTCCTCTTAATTCTTGGGAGATGGCTGAAGGTCTGCCTCAAGATGACACATCCCCTTTTCCCTCCTCTCAGCTGGCGGGGCATAAGGATCTCCTCAGGTGCAGGTGTCTCCTCTCCAGTCTTCCTGCACTTGCTTGGCTGAAATGATCAGAGCAGCCAGGATGGAGGCAGGATGGCCTGAGGTCACAAAGGGATGCTGCCCAGAGGAAAAAACAAAGAAAGGAACTCTTACTTTCCAGGATCCCATCCTCATGGGCTCAAGCAGGATTCCCTGGCTACCAGGAAGACACACCAAGAGCACCGAGGGCAGCGTGTCCCCCTGTGCCTTCCTGTCCTGGGAGCTGTCTGCGCCACGTGGCCCACACTCCTCCTCATCCCTTCATGCAGGTGTCCTCAGCTGACAGGGCTTTTTGCCCCTTTGCTTTTTCTTACCTGCAGGAGTTCCTGGGCAGAGCAGCGCCTGTCCTCGTCTGCCTGCAGGCAGCAGTGGAGGAAGTCGTGCAGGAGAGCCGAGTGGTGCCTGGGCTTCTGCAGTTTTGGGGGCCCATTCTTTCTATCAGTTCAAAAACCTACAGGACAAAGATGCAAGAGGACACTGCACCTGCTCCTTTGCTAGCCACATCAGCTCTCTCCATGATAGTGGAGCTCTGGGAAAAGTTAAAGATAGAATCTAAAATGTTAATCTTTGTGCTTTCCCAGATCAACTGCACCTGCATAAGCAGTATGATAAATTACATAATTGTTAGATGTGATGATTGTTTAGTAATTAAATATAATTACTATATAACCAGAAGAAGAATAATTAGAAAATATGTTGGAAATTCAGAGAGGGGCTAAATTTATGTATACAATAGAACAATATAAGTTTAATAATTAACATGAAAGTTATATAAAGATAGAGTATAAAAACATGATCATTTCGGATGTATGGTCGGAATCAAATTTGGGTAATACCCTGATTCCCAGAGCTCTTTAATAAAAAGCACCGCATATAATCGCTCCGTGATTATGTGTTTTTGAACGCTACCATTTTGGTGACCCAGATGGAACCGTTGTGAGTGCTGCTGAGCGAGTTCGCAACTTGATCACGCTCCAGCCGGCACCGAGGGATTCTTGGGGAGCCCATTGGCTGCGACCGCTCCTGCCGCTCACAACGTCCCTGGGAGAAAGGTAAGGTGCTTTTTTTACTTTGGTTTGGTTTTGGATGCCTGCCAAATAAGACGCAGCAAAAGCTACACTTGGTTGGGCTAAAGGAATTCCTGTTGGTACAAGCCTAGGCGCCATTCCATAAGACAATCACAAAAGCATTGCGGGTTCGGCATTTGTGGTGTATTTGAAATGGAGAAATTTAAAGGGATTTTGGGCAGTAACACCCCTATCCCGCAAACTTCTCCTTTGGGGTGCTTATTAGCACATTGGAAACAGGGTAACTTTGGGGAAGAATTACGTAAAACTAAGTTGATTGATTACTGTAATTCATGGTGGCCAGAATATGCCTTGGAGAATGGCGAAAAATGGCTAAAATACGGTACTCTGCAATATAACACTATTTCGCGGTTAATGTCGTTTTGTAAACAAGAAGGAAAATGGGATGAAGTCCCATATGTTGATCTGGTTTTCTATTTACAGGGAAAGCCAGAATGGCAGGATGAATGTGGATTATTAGTGGTTAAAACATCTGCAAAGTGTGGGGTTTGTGAGGAACGTTGTTTAGAACACTTGGCGTTAAAAGAAAGCTTGAGTAGGGAAAATTATACAGATGTTGAATTACAAGTAGCTCCAATAGGAGCTAAGAAAGCTACAAGAGAACCTAACTCTATCCCACCTGTTTCACCTGTCCCTATCCCACTACCTGCTCCTCACCCACCTAGTCCTGAGCCCATCTCGTCTAGTACACCTTTCCCTCTTTATCCTCCTCTCCCATCATCACCCGGTCCCTCTTCCTCGGAAGATGAGCAAAACCTAACTGTGATA